ATACATACATACCTACATATATATATATATATATATATATACTTGTTGGGTAAGAATACTCGACAACAATGGCTCCAGGTAAGCTAGTCAAGCTTGTGCCAAACTTCTTGAGGTTCATGCACTGTCGATCATGTTGCGGCGGGGCTAGGGGACACTTTATAACGTCCCAAATATTCCACGCCTCGCAAGTTTACTACCAATGCTCCAAGATGCACGGTAAGCGAAGCCCGTGTATTTAGACTAGCTACCCTAAGTCTGAAATCCTGCAACACCACACCCCTCAACGCTACACCCCACAACACCTGCAAGCCCTCAAATCTGCGATTCCCCTCCTTGAGGTTGATATCCCTGCCCGGCGGACAGCCGACCCTGGTCCTCAGGGCTTTTGCTCTGTCATACGGCAAGCTTGTGGTTGCGACGGCGATTGATCTCTGTCGGGCCTTGCACTCATAAGATGTAAGGGTCGATGCATTGCACCTGAGCCTACATAGGTAAACTACCCTTCGCAGTCAGGCCCATAGGGTCTCAGTCAAGCAAGCCCCCGAGCCTGAACCCCTAAACACCAGAACCTTGCCTGGTATCGTCCGAGTGTGAGTGTCAAAACACTAGAACCAGGCTCAGCGTCTCACCCACGTGTTGGACCAAGATGGCTTCCGGGATCTGTTTTCGATCTGTTCGGCTCTCACTGTAGGGCCGACTAAACCTTAAACCCCTGACCTTACCGCCCGTCTCTAGTCAATCACGCAAGTTTAAGGCCTAGTACCTTTGGATTTTCTGCACCTGTCTACTGATTGCGGTGCCCTTCTTGATGCCAAGACCTACCCTACTCATCGTTAGCATGGCTGATTCCACAGGCATTCCTCGTAACATCACCGGGCTGAGCCCGTCCGATCCCGATATCCGCAGTGGTCGTTACGTGGACGAAGCTCCGTGATTGAAAGCGAGAAAAGCTGCTGTGCACGACACTTGGAATCAGAGCCAGGTTGTCAAAGTTTCCTAGTTCTGATAGTATGCCCCCCCACAGTCATCGTCAGATTCCTGGGCACTGGAACACCAGCTAGAAAGCGTGTAGTTGGAGAGGCTTCTGACATCAGCCTGGGTCTAGTATGCAGACTTTCCTGCGCTCGCCAGCCATCCTCGTCCGCCTGATGCCTAAAGCTTGGATGCAACGATCGCAAGAACCTCGCACCTAGGTCTGGTGGACCAGTCGTTGCTTCCCAGTGGTCTGGCACAGTTCTTTTCGACGGCACCATGATAGGCATCACATTGAAGGTCGGGCTGTTCCAGCAGGGAGCTCCAAATATGCCTTGTGGTGCCGGAAGTTTTCTCTAAGAGTAGTGGCTCAGATCTGAATGGAATCGGGGCATATGACCTGGCATCCCCAGCCCACTACAACATCAGAAAGAGGAGCAGAGAGGATTTTCAGTTGTGTCGCGAACTCCACTTCTGCTTCCGGTTCCCGCCACGCATGCGGAGCCCTGGAGAATGCATGCTCATAGTGTGAACTGTGTGCATATGTGGGGTGCGCAGATTGCACGATGGGGTCAGAGCTAGTGGGCCCTTCGATGTAGGAGTTCAGAATATGGTGGTAACACCGATTTTCTTGTGATTTCGAGCATACAGCTATTTGGGACGAACAGGTGGCTCAAAGGAACCGTACTCTTCTTTACGGTCTGCCTCTACCGCCCAAATAGTTATTTGTTTCAGAAATTTATATATTAATCGGAAGCACGAGGGGCACCCCGAATCTTGAATTCTGAGAATTTTGCGGTGCGGCAGGGCGGCCGGGGCAAGTTCTTCTACGACCGTCCCGGACAGAGGAGCCGCGGGATGGGGAAAGTCAGGTGGAGCCAGGTACTGTAGGAGCGCTAATAATTAGAATAGGGTTTTGGTGGATATTATGCTAGAATTATAATCGGAAGCCACCAAAATAGTATATGTAATTATTAAGGCCCCTATAGTACCGCAATCTCCCTGAATTCCGGGTCCTTTACTCAGCGCCCCAAAACTATGTTGTGACAGGGGGGTATTGGCTGCCTGATGGCTCAGAGGTTTAAACCGCACTGTGCCCCAGAGACGCGGCAATGTCTGCCAGGGAAATTCCGCTGTTCGGGGTTCAATTCCCGAATCTTTTACGGCTGAGAAGCATTGAGCCTGTTGCTCCTGCCGCTATGGATTCCGGGATCTGGAACTTTGTGTTGGAGGTGTTTATTCTTATGGAGATTGATATGTGGCTGAGGCACCGAACCGATGGGCGTTTTATGGTGCTGCTGTTAGTTGGACCGGACCTGAAGACGTGAGTGACCTGAAAAGCGAAAATCCACAAAGCTTCAAAGATCTCAGGGGCCAAAGGTAGCCCGGAATTTTTTAACCGCGAGAGCGAGACCCCATCCCGCGATGCAAACCCTGAAGCCAGCAGTTTTCTGCAGTCAGGACTTTATACTTTATGGTTTGTCTAGGCCCACAAAGAAGCAATACCTCGTAGCCCGAAATGACCTGAGAAGCCGTCGCCTCTTACTGCGAGGTATAGGCTCAACTACACTGCCTCCTCGAAGTTGTTTCATCCAGACGGCAAGCTTGAGCAGGACAAACATGGGCAGTTCATGTGACACTTCTGGGGGTCCTCGGTTTAGGAACCCCGAACCCTAAACCTAAACCGAAACCGAGTTTAGGTTCTATCGGCTGCAACTCAGGGCCTGAAGGATTTTTTCCTTTCAGGCTTCCGGGGTTCACCGTGGCAGAGGCCTCAGTTGGCACCCACGGGATTTTCGAGTTTGAGGGTCTCGGATGTAAGGGAGTTGCCTGCACTTCAGTAAGTGCTCGAAACTCATCAACATGACGTCGCAGCTCCAGCCTCTCTGACAACCACCACCACCGCCCACCACCACCATCACCATCACCAGCACAACAGCAACAACTAACGCCACTACTCACTGCGGCCACAGCGACGACGGCGAAGAACAACAGCAGCAACCATATCTGCACCAGTCATATTTTGTGAAACAGTTTCAACATACTGGAGCAGGCTGCAGAGCTACCATGGCCAGAAGATTGACAACCACGCCAAGATTTTCATCGCTGAGCTATGACAAAGATCATATAGGGGCCTTAATAGTTGCCCATATTATGGGGTTTGTTTATTCTATTTATAGTATAATAATATACCCCTAAAACGCTATTCCAATCATTTAGGCTCCTATATACATTTGAGTTTTTGGAATCATACAGCCAAGACCTGACAATGGGAAATCCCCTGCTGCGCCGAATCTGAAGCGCCGTGTGCTTGCCTTCTGTCGCTGATAGTATCGGGACCTTTTTTTTATTCGAGAACCCCCAAAGAGTACTGGCAATGACTTCGGGCCCGATACTAGATATGACCTGCTCGAAGGCTTCCTTTTAAGGGGGCTTAGGGTTTAGGTAATATCGCCGTCGTCATTGCCACATTGCTGTCTTTTCGTCGGGGCTGCCAGGTTCTCGAAGGCCTTGCAAATCTGTGGCCAGGACATGCTCGCCAAGAACACCACGATGCCGGCTGCTCGATTTGAAAAGAACGTGGAGGTTGCTCCATGAAGCACTCATGGACGAGGAGTGAGGGGAGAGCCTAATGTCCTAATGTAGACCCCTGAGGAGTCGGATCCATATCAGAAGGAGCCCCAAGTTGCACCCAGAACAGACCCCGAGCCGAAGCCCCAGCGCTGTGTGCCCAGATGAACTACACCTGGGGTGGCTACGGCGAGAACGGCGCCTGCAACCCTTTCCCGAACAAGTATTCGGAGCCTTGAACGGCTGAGTTTCTGAGCTGTCTGTGGCAGTTGATTCTGTGGGCCTCTGCACATCCGGGCTCTTGGCCTTGTCTCTGAGAACTCGAGGCAGAAAGCTACTAAGCACAGTCCTGCTTATGCTGTCATAAATCTCACATATTTTTGCACCGGCAAGTTGCAACAAGCTGCGAGAGCAGAGCTACGTCGCCTTAAGAGATGCCTTCTTAGTCGCTGGCGTCTTTGCTGTTGCTACCTGCACGTGCAATGGTACAGAGCATAAGTAGTAAGGACTTCTTCGGCTGGCTGGCCATTGCCAGCGCTGGAGCAAATCAGACAGTCGAGGGAAAGCCATGCAGACAGTGGACTGCGCTGCCCCCTGTCCGAAGATTGAGGCTTCGAGGGAACAGGTCTCAGAAGTGCTCGGATTCAAACCCTACTCGCGGCGCCTGAGCCCCTCAGAAGAAAGAAGCTACGGAGCACGTTGACGAAGTGGATCGAGACTCCTTCTGGGCTGGAGGAACGTCAAGGCTCCAAGTCGTAATCTAGGGGCCTTTGTACTGGGTGGCCCGTTGTGTTAGTAACTACCCATACTATTGGGGGGTTCCTTGTTATGAACTATGATTATATAATAGAATATACCCCAAAACCCTCTTCTATAATTATTAAGGCCCTACCTATAGTCTTCATTGTAGTTCCTTTTGGGGGATACC